CTTATTACAAGTTGCAGTACAGAAGTTGAGCCTTGTCAGTTCTGTCTCACCAGGGCTTTAGCAGCAAAGGGTCTGCAGGGAATGAGGCTTGAAAGGAAACTTTAAAGGGAATGGATTTTCTCCAGGGAAACCAGATGGAGAATGGAATTTGTGATGGAAGGAATAGCTTGAGAAAAGGCAGAGGGATCTGAGGAGATGCTTGAAAGGTAGAGATCAGCCAGATTACTGGAGCCCTTTAAGCAAAGAGCGACATTGATCTTGCCTGATGGAAGCCACTGATGTATCTTTGAACAGTGACAGTGTTGGATATGCATTTCTACTATAAAACATAAATCACGAGTCCTATCACTGGAGGTACAAATAATACCTAAGGAATCCTGGAGAAAGCTTATTGAAATAAGAGTCTTCCTCTTATATTTATTTTTTAAAATTTAAAAACAGGTGGTGGATAAACTATGAGCATTCTATTCTACTTAGCACCACCTGTCCACCACTTTATGCACCTCTTTCCTAGCCACAGGAAACTGCTATTTTCAATCTTTCGGACCTTTTCGTATTTTATTTGCATCTAGACAATCATGTAGAAAACACTTTAAAGATGTATTGCCTTTTCTTACTACAAAGCAGCATGCTCACATGATTCTTTGCCTCACTTACCTCAATCCAAGCGATCTTTTCATTTCCCTCCTCTTAGAGTGCTCCTTAAGCTTCTTACATTTTTTTTTCCTAGCTGCAGAAGATTCCATCATGTGAATGGTCCATAACTGATTTAACCTGTTCCCTGCAGAGTGACATCTAATTTGTTTCTATTTCTCTACTCAAAGCAATGCTACATGAAGAGCCTTTCACAGCTGTCATCTCACATGTGTGCAAATCTTTTTGTAGGACATGGAATTCAAGGGCTGAGTGGACATGTATTTGTAGTTTGGGTGGTACTGCCAAGCTCTCTTCCTTAAGGGTTTCTTTTTGGTTCTGGGAATCGAACTCAAGACCTTGTGCTTGCAGTGAAGGCAGTGGAGCCACTAAGCTAAATCCCCGGCCCCCTTAAGGGTTTCTAATATTTTTATTCTTCAGAGTGGAAGTCTTTCTAAAGCATGAATTATACCTTATGTATCTTTATTTCCTTGGCCCTGGGAAGTACTTAGGATAGGAATGTTGAATTAATTCTTTCCAAAGGGCACAGGTGGAGAATGACTGAAGGTCAAGCTCCTCTTATTACTGTTAATGAGACATAGTGGGCTCCCCACAGTCCTTCCAAAAAATATGGCAAGGAGCACAAAGTAAAAACTCAATGAAAAGTGCTCTCCTACACCTTAGAGAGCTAGTGCACATGTTCACTCTGTCTTAGAAAAAAAATGTATTGCTAAACTTTATGTATTTGCTTCAACATCCCTTCTTTGGCAGAGAGGAAAGAATAGTTACACAATCGTCTTATTTGTAATTAAAATTCTGACAAAATAGCTGTGGTAATATTTTAAGGAATAAGAGCTTCCTTCTTTTGTACCTAGGAAAGATTGAATCGTGGTGGGTCCCGGTGACTAGTTTGGGTTAGTCAGGGACAGGCCTTGGAATGGATGAGTATTTCTCACCACATTTGCCCCATTACATACACAATCCAGAACAACTATGAGTACTAAAACTTTCCTAAGCCTTTTCTGGACAATTTTATTAATCTTCTAAATTTACCTAAAACCTTATGTGTTCCTTGTAAGTGGTTTCTAAAATACTTTGTTGCGGTCAGAACACATTTAAGGAGGCTTTATAAAGGCCTTTAAACATATCCAATTTTGCTTACAAGTTAGCTTTTCTAACTTATAAAGCACTTGTTTCAACAGATAGCATTGTAAAGACACAGTTATACCTCTTCTTCCTTATCCATAATTTGTACAGTGCATACTTTGTGCAAAAGTAAATAGAAATCCTTAACTCTTTAAATTTTACCCCAGCAAATGCTTTTGATTAATTCTCAACTTTGAATCTAGCCCAGAAGGTGGCTAAGGCTCTCTAAGTATATTCGCATCAGCAACAAATGCATTGGTCTTCACAATTTTTTTCCCCCACATGCTGGAAAATTATCAGGCTGGGCAGTCCCCATTATTTTCTACTATTAAAATGAAGCTGCCATCAACTGAACATAGACCTATTCAGGTATCTTCAATTAATACTCAGTGAGTAGTGGCATTTTAGTGGAAAAGGAGATGCAGGTAACTCTCTCTTCTCTGACTGACAGCCTGTATGCTGGTCACAGCCATACGAATCCTCAGGGTCTTTAATTGTTAAATATGGGCATGGAATTCTTATTTAGGTCAAAAATGTTCAGAGCTTCGATGAACCAAACATGATTTAGTAACTCATATTTGATATTTGTGGAAATCTTCATGTAGTAAGTTAGCACACAGATTGAAGTATAGTTGTGAAATGAATAATTGAAAAAAATATATTATTCAGAAGAAAGGTAAAAACATTGAGTTCCGATGACGATAAAGCAATGGTGTACATGGCAGGATTTCTTAAACAGGGTGCAGGGATGGATTTGGGAGACCCACAATCCCCTAACATCGTGTGGAAAATTCTGCACATATTCATTTATGTCTATTTTTCAATATTTTCTCAATATGTTCCTTGTACATATACATGTAGGCATATATTTCCCAGTAAGTTTCACTTCTGAGAGCTCCAAAATGGTCTTTTTATCTCAAATTGAAGACAGAGGTACTAGATTCAACTAAGGGACTATTCAGATAACAGATCTGTTAACTTCATTCTTCTCTTCTCATCTCTTTCTCTTCCTCCCTCAACAGAATCTTTTGGCAGAAAATGTTGGGAGCAACTTTTAAACTCTTGATTTTTACTTTTTTTTTTTCCTAGAAATTTTTTCTATAGCTTTAGATATGGCTTTCCTTGACTTATTTCTGAATTATTTTGTGAGCATATTAAGCTTTGATTTTGACATTGCGAAGATATTTTGCGTTGCTTGCACTTAAATTTGCATTCCTCACTTCATTTAAAGACTTGACTGAAAACTGAATAAAAATTATTCAAATGGCTTCTCTCAGAATTCATTCATAATCTCATTTGTATTCTGCTGTTTTAACATTTTTCTACTTTAATTTATGTAGCTTTTTCTATACTTGATTAATATTCTTCAGTCACCAAACTCCTAATTTGTTATGCTGAAGGCATTTAGGATCTAGGAGTATTATTATTAGAATTATTATCATTATTTGTAGCTGACAGAATTAGTTATCACCTGAAAGATTCTAGCATTCCCAATGTTAATGAAAGGGCAGGGTCTGTCCCAGGTTGGGGTCTAGTCAGCTCTGGCTTTGACCAGTCACAACCATAAACAAGTGACCCTAGTACCCTTCAGCTTTACCTGAGAAGTCTGCAAAGTCACCTTCAGAAAATTTTGGTTTACTTTTGCTCACTAATACACTTTCTTGGAGGTTTTATCCTTGGTGCTTACTTGCTTCTTATAGAATAATGTGTAAGTTTTAAAGCACTTTATTGACTTCAAAGTGAGAAAGTGAAGCTTTTTTTTTTTTTTTTGTACTAGGGATTGAACTGGAGACCTTGTGCTTGTGAGGCAGGCAGGCAATGGCACCACTGAGCTAAAGCCCTGGCCCTGAAGCTGCTTTTTATTTTTTTAAATTTTTTTCTTATTCAGTTTATTGGTATATTTTAGGTATACAGTACAGTTACATTCATCATTGGGCTTTTGTACCTTTACATGACAGGTCTTGGTTCTCAATTTTTGAAGCTGTTTTTTAATAATAAAATATTGTTACAGATGTGGAGTCTTGGGTAAGGATTTAGAAAATGTGGTTTAAAGATCATCTCCATCTACCAAGGGCTCTCTCATTTATTTTTCTCTATATCTCAGCTAATCAGGCATTACCATCACGTGTTATAAATGAGGTATTTTTTGAATCTAAGGTTGGGTCATCACACTTGTGGTTTTTTAAAAAAAGTTTAAATTAAAGGCAAATCTCATACTCTCAAATCAATATTGAGAAACCGGGGCTTAAAAAAATTCACTAGACTAAAATATTTTCTCTTCTTCCCTCCCTCTCTCCCTCTCCCTTCTTCTCTCTCTCTCTCTCTCTCTCTCTCTCTCTCTCTTTGTTTTTCTCTCTTGCTTCTTTCCTTCTTGCTTGCTACAGATACCCTGCCAACTTGGTGAGAACCTTCTCCAAATATGTAGAGTGAAACATATAGGATTACAAAGGAAATCAAATATTTTAAATATAGTTATCAAAATGCTTTTAAAGTATGCAATAAATGGAATGTTTCTTTATTAAACATTAACATCAAGCTTAATGCTTTTATAATGTATTTTAAAGTATGCAATAAAATGCTTATAAGGTATGTAATAAATGGAATGCTTCTTTATTAAAACATCACAAATCAAGTTTAGCCCGACATGGTGGCACAGGCTTGTGATCTCAATTGCTTGTGTGGCTGAGAAGGAGGATCATAAGTTCCAGATGAGGCTGGCAAACTTAGCATGACCTTGTCTCAAAATAATAAAATAAAGTAAACTTGGGAATGTAGCTCACTGGGCTTGATCTCCAGTAATGCTGGTAAGGAAGAAGAAAACACAAGTTTGAAGGATTTGTGTTGCTGGGGATTTAGCTCAGTGGTGCCACTGCCTGCCTTGCAAGCACAAGGACCTGAGTTTGTTCCCAGGTACCAAAACAAAATAAAACAATGCATGTAATATCTAACTTCAAAATAGAGAAAATATCAATGATACTTTAAAGTATCTGTGAGAATTTAGAAAAAGATATGACAAGACTGAATTTCTGTTGGTATCAAAAGTCACAGGTACTACTTATACCAACCACTGTGATTTGTATTCTACATTCAAAAGGAAAGGAAATGTTATATTTCACTTACTTTAAATATACAGAAATAGTCTTTTTTTTTAACCTTATCCAAGTTCATGGGGAGAGGGACATCATTTCCTCTCTCTGAAGGATGAGATGAGCTGCACTTACCTTCCAGGGTCTCACACTGGACCAGGTTGATGTAGTCCTGCTGGGTCAGGAGGCTGGCCTTGAACCCTCGTACCAGGCCCTCCAGGTAGCCATGGTCGATGTTGAAGTGCAGCTCCGCACTCTCCAGCATGGGGAAGGATGGCTGCGATTGCAGCTGAACAGCTCTGGAGTCTTGGTCAGCCCTGTCGACTTGCCCTAGTCCGGAAAAGTGCTGGTGGTATAAACAATCAGCTGATAGTCAGGGTTTCCGTGACTAGTTCTGCCCGGTTTTAGTGGCTTTCAAAACAGTGTGCTCAGACCTGTTTTTATGGCAAGAATGAATCAGCCAGATTACCCAAATCAATCCAGGGCAAAAATCATTCCTGGGACGAATAAAGGAGGGAAAGGTCTGAAGTCTGCTCTTCCCTCCTTGAAATACTAGCCCTTTGTGGTTTTGCTATTTGGAGCTTCAAACGTCTGAATATTTTGGAAACATTCCCACTTTCAAGTTACATTACTCCAAATTTTGGGAGGACTACCAATATGAACAAAGAGAAGGCTTTTGTCAAAATAAAAATACTAGATGATGTAACTAGATCAAAAGTGAGCAGTTAGGAGAAATCCGAGAAGCTAATTCAACAACAAAGTGTATTTGTAAAACAAATAATTAATAATGTCTTAAAATTGCCAAGAGCTACTATGTATTTCCTAGCCAGTCTAGGAGCAGAGCCCTGTGATTCTGTAGTAAGAATCCATCACCTTGTAAAATGTAATGCGCTCTTCTTTTTCTTTTTTCTGAGTTGAGTCTCCTGATTATTCTGAGACAAGTATCAGCAGAGACAATTTTAGTACTAAAATTGCAGATAAGGAGTCTGCTAGCAGAAGCTGTGAAGTAGCTCAGACTGCAGTGTTGGTAATAAAGTAGGTACTTATATATATATAAAGTAGGAGCTTACTTGTGTCCTGCTCCAAAAAGGAGTGCTTGTTCTCCTAATATACTTCACTCAAAAACTATGTCAAACATTTGAATGGTATTGACCCATATGTAGCATCTCACATGCATTGTGTCAAATCCTTTTAGTGGAATAAAGTGCCAAAAATTGTTCAGGCTCTGTCTCTGGGTGTCCACATTGTTTGGGAGTAGGGAAGATTGACTCAGTACGCATTCTGTTTTGATTGTTGAAAATCACACAGAATCAACTTAGCTTCACAAAGTGCCTGACTTAGGAAATGTTTAATAAATAGCATAAACTTTTATTTGTATGTCATCATCTATGTATATGTTTTCATCTACCCCTCCATCTGACGATTCCACCATCCTCAAACATCCTTAGTACGTTTCATATTGAATAATTGAGTTCATTTATAATTTTCACCAATGTAAAATAACAACTCTGCTTTAAAGGAAGTAAGAAGGTTGCTTATTCTGAGTGGGGAGTAACTGGCCTGGACACACAGATTCAAGTTACCCTGAATGGATTGTTCCACCTTGGCAAGGGTTACAGGAACTTCATAGTCACAAAACAAAAGAAAGACATAGATCAACAAATTTACCAATGACATTGTGAGGCATATCAGGTAAGTGGGCTACACAGAGGAAGGTGGGAAAATCTCTTCTATAGTTTCAGGTGCTTTTTTATCGCATTCTTAGCTTTTAGGCTGGTGGAGGCTAGAGATCTGCTAAGCTTAATGATACATTCCAAGAGTTTTGCCTACTAGTCACAAGGATGTTAGGTCAGATATGGAAGTTGGTAGTAAATGATAATTGCAAGAGACGAAAGATAGTCCAAAATAATTTTGGCTTTCAATCTACAATATTCCATCACTCCACAATCCCAGTGATAACCCTGAACAGTGTGCAGGATTTGCAGTACAGATGTAACTTCCTCAGAGAACTTCAGGTCACATTTTGATAAAACTAAAGATGGCTGTATGTCAGTTGTCTATATAGTTCAAACTAATATAAACTTATAATTAAATAAATTATAAAACAAGTATATTTTCCTAATTATTCTATTGTAGTTTACTATTATGCATGTACTTGAAGTTACTATGTCTGTTATTTGTAGGGAAGATTCTTTCTGTTTTGTTTTGTTTTGCTGGTGATGCTGGGCATTGAATTCAGGGCTTCATGTATGCTGCACAAGTGCTTTACTGCTGAGCTGCTGCCAGAACCAGTATGGCAAATAGTCTATGCAATAGTGCACTACCTTGTGTCTACTTTTGGCCACCCAAGGTAGAACTATTTACACCATGAAAGTATGCAAATGAAAAAAACTAGGGCTTGATTTATTGCTTTATTGATTGTTCAGCCTTAAAATGTTAATAAAAAATTAAATTTCAAAGTGTGTGGAGTCTATAGCCATTATATTGTGGGTTGCAAAAAGTATTTGAATAAATATTCTTTCATTATTTAAAAATTTAATTGAATCAGCGAAGAAGCCACTCATTATGCAGAGCAAGTGAAGTTATGACTTAGGTCTTCATTGTTCCACTTTCCTATTATTCATTAATATAAATAAAAAATAATGACAAGCATTCAAACAGGAAGTATGTTTATTTATCAGTTGTAACTGTAGATTGGTAATAGATAAAAGCGCAAAACAACTGTGAATGCAATGGGTTCCCTTCTTGGTGAGGGTAGAGCCAATGAGTATAAACAGAAGCTAAAGGAGCCTGAAGAGATTTATTACTAGAAGCAAGTAAAAAGGTCCCTGGAGTTATTTGCAAAACAACAAAGAAAGTGGTAGAAGGCATTTTATTAGGGAAACATATATATTTACATAAGACAGCGTATGCTGGGGCAGACACTTTACTGAGTATTCTGTTTTAGCTCGTAAACCGCATGTTCGGGAAGGAAAGATGGGAACACAAATGCTTCAGAGCAGGAAATTTAGTGAGCAGATCACCCAAAAGAACAGGACAGAGTGACTCGCTGAACATGGCTAGTTCTGCTTTAGTTTTCCCCAAAAGTCTTAGCTGGAACACAAAGAAAGAACAGTTGAAAGAACATATCAGTCTTTTAAAGGCAGGAAAACTTCCCCTTAATAGAGAAGTTTGACCCTAAAGCTGCTTGTTCTGCTCAGCAGCTGACAAAACAACAAACAATAAAAGACATAGTGAAATCAACTTACCATATGGAATTCATAATAAAGAATATTATTTTACTGCTATTTGTATCTTGGGTGATACATGATTTTTGTATTAGTAAAATTTATTACAAACATGAACACAAATCTGTGAGGGGCAGTTATTAAACTTGCACAGCATAAGGCACAGTTTTTCCTCTAGATAGGCCTGCCGCTCAACATGCTCAAAGCAATAGAATTTTGTTGTTGTTGTGTGTGTGGGTCCAGTTTGTCCAATTCTACATTTATTCATGAAACTGGTAGCAGCTTTTTAATTTTCAATTTAAGGTTGTTCTCTTGTAAAATCTTATGTAATGGAAAGTTTCCATTATTTACAAAAGTAGAGAAACTAGTATGAATACCTGCTACTCACCTTCAGAAATGATCAATTTTGATAATGAATGTTTTTTTTAATACCCTTTCTCATACTGGACTATCATGATGCATATGGCAGACACTATGTAATTCTGTTTGTAAATACTCAATATGTATCTCTCTTTAAGATAGGATTCTTTTCCAAAAATCACAACCATTGTGACACTTGCAATTTAATAGAAGTTCCTCATTGTTTATATGAACAATCATGTATATTAATAGATAAGTTACCATCAAAGAGAATAAGCTTAATATATACAAATAGGCTTTTATATTTTATATTAATTACCACATTATTCATATGTAGAGAAAAAGTTCCAATATTCTTTAAAATGAGAGATGCCTACATTTTGGGCTCTAACTAAATTGAGGGCTTAGACAGGCAGTGTTTCTCCTTCCCCTCACACTAGCCTTTGAGCCTAGCTGAAAAGATGCCTCATTCCTGCCGCAGGGATTTGTCAAACACAGACTCAACTCATAAGAAATAAGAGGAACCCCAATACAGTGACAAGATCTGGGGCATTTTTATAAGTAGGTGCTTATGATAAAAGCAAAATAAATAAATGCATTTCCGTGATTAAAGTCACTGATGTTCAGGAAAGTGGGCTTTGCAGTGGGACAGGTGTGCACTGGTCACTGCTTCTCTCTGAGCCCAGCGTTTTCATGACAAAATGGGTATAATGCTTCACTTCCTACGTGGCTCTGAAGACTAACTGAGATGAAATCCTTAAAATGCTAGCACATGTGAGTGTGTGCGCTAAGTACTCCATAAAAGGAGCTACTGCAGTGGCTGCTCTTCCTGCTCCAGTCCCCAGCAAACCACCCTAAACCTGATCACATAAGGCTAGACTCAGTCCTGAAGGACTCCTCTGGTTTTCTCTCTTCACCGTGTGTAGCAGCATGGCTTGTGGGATACTCAAAACCTGCTCTCTGTGTTTACTAGAGTCAGACCACCAGCATGACTTTAAATTACTCTTACAGAGTCTTTAATCCATGTGTCTCTAGGAAACATCACACTTGATAAGTATTTCTAAATACATAATAAGGGTATGGCTTGTAGCATAATAACATAGGTATATAACTACAGATAGTCTATATCTGTATAGGCTATATAACTTTTATTGTGACTTCCTGTCAATTTTAAGAGGTCCCAAAAGGATTTTTTTTTGAGAGAGAGTCTCACTGTGTAGCCCAGGATAGCTTTGATCTTGTGATCCAGGAGGATCCAAGTGATCCAGGGGGATCCAAGTGCCCCAGTCTCCCAAGTGCTGGCACTACAGGCGAGTGTCACTGCACCTGCTTAAATCATTAGCTTTATAGCATTAGAGGACAATAGAGTCTATACTTCTGGTCACAAAAAGAATTTTCTGGGTGTGGTAGGCTCTTGAAGGTGAAGTAGTAAAGCAGACCCAGGCTGCTTGAGTATCCTCCACTGAGTGTCTGGGATGTAGTTAGGAAGGCTTGGGCCTTGAGAACTCTGAGCCAGTGTCACGGTGGGTAACCCTACACCCCCTGAAGCAGGTGCTTTACAGGCGGCAAAGGATGTAATTATCTCATATGCTATCCTTTAAAAAGTCAGAAGTCAAGTCAAAGTCCTTTTCTAACACCATTACATTTTTTTAAAAAGGACTTTATTACAGAAAGTTTCAAACATACAGAAAACTAAATGCTGCTGTAATAAATCCCCATGGTTGGCTTCCATAATGGTTGCTTATGGCCAGCCTTGGTCCGGTCATCACAGGGATTAGCAGGCTTTTCTCTGTGGCCCCATGAACTGTGGAAGCTCTCTTGAACATGAACTCTGCTATTGTAGTGAGTGGCTGTCATAGTTCGCACACAAATAAGTGAGCATTACTGTATTCTGATAAAAACAGATTATT